GACACCGGGTTTATTTCAAAACTCATTTTTTTACAAACGAAGTTAAAGCCAGTTGAAAAATGTATATCGTATACTATACATGTTCTACGTTACTTCAGTTCATACAAAAAAAAATCATAGCTATATAATTATGTACAGTACTTATTGAATATAGCGGTTTTCTTGTAAAATTTCGAGGTAAATTTGTGTTTTCTTTTACCGTGAAAATTTTTAGGAGTCGTGTTTTCATACGATGTAGTAATCAGTGTACATCCTCAATTATACTATATATTTTTCCATAGTGATTGACTAAACACTGTCACTGTTGTACGGAATCAACTAAAGTTATTTGAGTTTGTATAGACTCTTAATATACTTAGTTATATATTTTTTTATGAAAAACCAACCTCAAAACTTTGTGAAATTACATCTACTTGCCAAGTTTTATTGATATCTGGCAACGAAAAGTGGGTGAAGGGGAATAAACCGGGTTCATCCCCTAACTTGCCATCCTTAAACTACTACTAACGGTCGCTTTCTATATTTAACCTTATCCATAATTTGCTATCTGAGCTTGAATAATAAACCATTGACTTACAATTATATGGACGTCGGGTCCGCGCTAAAAAGTGTCTGAACTTATAGGGAGTTACTCGTAAAATCGTATACAGAGCGTCATTTACGCTTTAGTCTTCGTTTGTTCGACTGACAGCGAAGCAAGCAAAATTAGACAGTACTGCGTTGACATTACAATTTAAATTCAACGTTTTAGCTTTTTCATATTCCTTTACATGTCACTACGTTTAAATAAGTTGACTTGGGACATTTTTTTCGTGGTTTTTGTGTTAGACCCGTCGTCCATTTATTTGTAAGTCAATGTAATAAACCGATCGATGGATCGTTATTCCCATCTTTTGTTTCAATCCATCTGTGGGAGATATGGCATTTTTAGATTGACATTTGTATGGTAGTGACAGTTGTGCGCTTTCAATATCCGATCCCTAAGTTTGACAAATCGGATTTTGAAAGTGTTTGATCTATAATAGCGATCCTCCAATTTTGACCAATTGTGTACTGTGTAATCGTGTGAAAATGGAAGTTATTTTTAAGTGCTAGCAACTGTGATGTTTAACAATTTGCTCAGTGATCGGACTGGGACAATAGCGACAGCGACCAAGAGCAGTTTGTGTCCTCAAGAATGTTTGAGCGTTAAAACTTCATGGCAAGTTTAACTGACGCTGAATTTACATTGAAATTTAGGCTGAACAAAACATCAGTTGAATTTGTTTGAAATGAAATAATGCCTTTTACCAAAGTCAAATCAAAACGGTATTTTTATAATTTAGATTATTTTATCACGTCACGAATACGAACAAAATATACATTTACACTAACATTACGCCGCCGCCGTTCGCAGTCCTTCATTTTTGCCATCCTATATGATCGTCCCGCTCGTTTGACAATAGACGTTCCGTTCTGGACAATAAACGTTCCGTTCTGTTCCTCGAAACACATCATTCTTGACTTACGGCTTAAATATTTTATACTTGAAAGTTTGCAATTAATTTATATTTTTGCCAAACACATGTATAAATAAATTTATAATAATATAATAATAATAAATAACGCACACACTCAACATAGCCCCGCACTAGGGAAACCCTGTGTCGCGGGTACCATGGACACACACATAGACAACCACAAATCACACCCAAACTCACGAGAGAAATAAATGTAAGCCATACAAACATTTCTCCCGGCCCGGGAATCGAACCTGGGACCTCTGCGTGACAATCCGGCATGGTAACCGTTCGGCCACGGAGGCAGTTAAAATTAATCTTAGAAACATAACCACCATTTTATTCACTAATTCATGTAATGAACTTTTACTCCGATTGCGTAGAACTAAACGTCGTAAATTTACGACCGCTACTTTTTTTAAGGGCGCTAGAGCCGAGATGGACATATTGAAATACAAATCCGGCAGCGATCGATGGATCGAATAAAATCTGCATAGAAAACAATGTTATATTCAGGATCAAATATAGAAAGCGGCCATAAGGTACTTTCCAACAAAAAAGTATAATCGAAATTGGTTCACAAATGTTATCGCAAAAGATGCAAAAAAAATTTTGTCGAATTGAGAACAATTTTTATACAGAGAAAGAGAGAAAGAAAACTGTAAGCTTTTACAGAAACAGATTCTCCTATTAGCTGTAGTGAACTCGTGAAGAGAAAGATATCTTCAAGAACTCATTAACAATTCCGCAATATAAAAGTTTTCAATACATTTCAATTTTATTCGTCAACCTGTTGCTATTTCTATTGTAAGCACAGGAATAAAACACCAGTAGTGCTCTATACGATCGCTTATCGTAAATGCCAAGACATATAGCCATAGTGGTACTAAACAACAGTGCTCATAATGAAACCGCGCCTCCAATAATTGTCAGCGAGGCGCAGATTATTTTACGGTACGCGTAAAAGGCTTTTTATAGCACATCAAATTATTTTCGTGCGTTACGCCCCGCCGGGAGTGTTACGTCTGGAATTTTTTTGTTATAAGAGGCAGCGAGAGCGATTTTGAATGATACTCACATCAGTGTCCATGAGCGTATCTATCTCTCGTAAATGTTTCCATCTCTAATAAGCGTCTGTGTCTCTCAAAAGCGTGTCTATTTCTTATGAGCGTTTCTATCTCTTATAACCGTTTTTATTTCTCATAAACGTTTTTATTTCTCATAATCGTTTCTATCTCCCATGAGCGTTTCTATCTCTCATGAACATTTCTATCTCTCTTACAACCAATATACTAAATATTTTTTTTAAGTTTGATTAAGAACATTCCCCACATGTGAAATGAATTCCATGTGAGACCCTACATGGTTATCATTACACATATTTTCCTTATAGTGCCTGATCGTAACACATTTACCATGAGTGCTCCATATTATTAATAATTAATTTATTTTTTTATTTTATTAGTAATAATTAATAAGTTTGTTTTCGAATTGTTTTTTCAAACAAATCAACGTTTCGGGCCTTTTACAGAATCCCGGTCACAGCTGACTGAGATGGTCGTTACCGTTCGATCTTCCGCCTACGAATTAAACATATTTAATGTTCACTGTTGTAGTATAGGTAATTGATAACGTTGCTACTTGAAACAACTACCATAGTAAAATAAGAGAAGTATGGTACATATGGTAACTGCGTACAAAGTAACAGCGCGGCTTGCATGTGTCCGTGACCGCCGCGCGCCTTATTGGCGCATTGAGATGACCAGTGTTATGCAACGCGAGACCATCACAAGATTATGCGAATGTGTACGTCCGTACACGGCGTGCAGCGGGTGTGCACACATACAAACCGCGCTGCTATATTTGTATGGAATTATCATACTTGTTTTATTAAACTATGCAACTACTTTGAGAGCAAAGGTTTTAATAAAATATTCTTCTTAAGTGCTAGCAAAAATGTAGAATTAATGTTAATAATAATAACGTACACTCTCACAGCCCCGCATTATGGAAACCCCGTATCGCGGGTGCCATGGACACACACATAGACAACCACAAAGAACACCCAAATTCACGAGGGAAATAAATGTAGGCTATATAAATATTTCTCCCGGCCCGGGAATTAAACCCGGGACCTCAACGTGGCGGTCCAGTATGGTAACAATTCAGTATGGGCGAGGCAGTTAAGAAAATATTTAACAAAAATCTGTCATAAAAATGTCTTTATTTCTCAAACAATCATGCTAAATGCTCGTTTTAGTTATTTTTCTTTAGCGAAGTTATTCTTTTCTTTGAATAAAACAATCGTTTTAAAACTATTTTAATAGCTAATAAACCAGCCATCATAAGGGCAGCAAGATCAAAGTACATTTTTTGGTACCAAGGTACATGCAGTGCTGGCGAGCGCAGATGCGGTGCCCCTTTAGTCTTGATTACATGCTCGACCCAGTGCACCAGCTCCTTGCCAGGAGACACCGGTCGATCGTGGTATATTAGAGATAACTCCTTCACTTTTGCTGCATATCTGAAATAGAATAATAATTTCTCAAAGATCCAGGTGCATTTATTTCTGTAAAAGTTTCGAAAAGTTTATTAAAGTTGAGCTTCTTTAAAATATGAATATTAACGGTGTTATTTAATAAGCTATCGATAACTTTTTACAAGTAAGATTATGGACAGCCGAATTAAATATTGAACATTCCGAAAAATCTATTAACTTAATGTATATTTTACCGAAAACTATAGTCCATTTCAATAAGGATGATTCTGGTGACGTTTCATATTTGAAGTTTCTAGAGATGTAGTGATGTAAAATCGTATGAAAAAAATCGATTTAAATATCTTATCGAGATAATTTGTAACGGAGAGAGCTTCGTAATCGAGTTACAGAAAATAATTTGAGAACAACTAATAATCAAAGTAATGGTGTAAATATCTATGGATAAATATTTAGTTTTACACATTAAGTATTTAGGGTAATTTATGTTGTGTCTATCCCTAAAAACTACACAACCAAACAAAAAGTCAACAGTAAAGCATAAAATCTATCTACATAATATACCACAATTTTTACTTAAAATTATATCTACAACAAATATTGTTTAATTTTGGTACGGACAACGGCACATCAGACTTCACATTTTTGTTCGAAAATCGCCTCCAGTGCAATAAAACAAGATACGTCAATATGTAGCTTGATGTGCTAGCGTGTGTACATTGTAAGAAATTTACTATTTATTTTTGTAACCGGGTTGACAGATTAGTTATAAATCGTATGCGTGTAACGTAAAAATTAGAAGTATCACAGAACTCACCCCCTATTGAAATGGACTATAATGTTAGCCAATTTTAGCTATTTGCATACTTTGGAGTAGGAACCTTTGACCTATAAGTTCCTGGTGGCCTATCACAACCTCTTAAAACAATATTACTTTAACCTTACATTGACTTTTCGTACCATGACGCGCTTAAAGTAAGCTTAATGTAGTGTTAAAACTGTGATGTCAGAGTTGGTAACTTTGTGATTATTCATTCCTTTTTTTTTCATCCTCTAAGATTCATTCACTCAATTATTTTTCATTCACAATTCACATAGTACGCTATGACGCGACTTTGACAGTCAAGTTATTGTTCTTGTTGAACATTACTGTTCGTATGTCAAATTTAGCAGTCTTATAATACGAGTTACTCGGATGTGGCTTAGAGAATGGTAGGTTGGAACGCATTTATTTTTTTTGTCCTAATATTTCTGTCCCGCTTTACAATTTGCTACCTCCAAAATTCCCCCGCCCCTCTAACATAACTAATTTTTTAACTTTTGTGTTTCTTCCCTACATTTTTACTCTAACTACATTCATCCAATTACATAATACATAACTATGAATCCGTGTGACATGTTTGTGTTGTCTTTTGTTTTAGATTCTCACCTTCCTGAGTACTTCCGTGATCCAATCCATCAACATCGGTTAATGTCATAATAGAATCTTTCCACCGTGACATTGGCACAATCATCTTCTATGTAATGATGGACTCAAAAAAATAAAAAGTGAAGTGAATTGACGTAAAGTGAATAGTTACTCGGACGCAATGGAAACAATATTATTTTCGAATTTATTGTCTAAACACTGATCGGCGACGATTAAAAGTTAAATTTAACTTTATTTATTTACACAAATCTCTTCAATATTTTGTTTATTTTTTTATTTAATAGTACGTACGAAATAATTTCTCGTAAAATAAAAAGACGTGATGTTTATTTTGTAAAATTAAGGCAGCGACAATAACAGTAGTTGACATTTCTCTGAATGTAAGTAATTTAATATTAAGTAGGTACGACGATAGGACGATTCGGAACATCAAAAAAGAAAAAGATGGCATTATAACTGCCTCCGTGGCCGAACGGTTACCATGCCGAACTGCCATGCAGAGGTCCCAGGTTCGATTCCCGGGTCGGGAGAAATATTTGTATTTCCTACATTTATTTCTCTCATGAGTTTGGGTGTAATTTGTGGTTGTCTACGTGTGTGTCCATGGCACCCGCGACACAGGGTCTCCCTAGTGCGGGGATATGTTGAGTGTGTGCGTTATTAAAAAAAAATATACAGTCAGGAACAGGCAATCTTGCGAAATCATTCATTCTTCCATCACTTTAGCAATAATGCATTACTTGGCTGAAAGGTTTGTCATGGTACGAATATGAGTAATACTATAATAAGCTTTCTTTATGCTTACGTTGAAATAAGACTGTTTTTGAAAGGTTATGGTAGGTCCCCTAGTGCCCTTTATCTCTACAAAATTGTACAAAATCTGTCTGGGAACTCCAAGCGCAAGACAGCTTGGATTACACAATTTATTTTTAGGAACGGGACGAAGAAGTCGTGCACCTGATGGAAAGCGACGCCTATTCATAACAGTTGCAATATCACTCGAATTTATAAATCGCAAAGATCTAAGGGGCACTCCCACTGCGCACTGTGCCCGTCACCCTGAAATATAAGTTGACAAGTCCCATGTGCTTGACGGCAGAAATAGGTAAGGTGGCTTGTAAGGTGTACTTCTCTGGACGAACTCTTTCTCAAGGATCTCCATTCCTACTATAATAATTCTAATTTAATTCTAAATTTAGTACAATAGCATTAAAGCGACCTTAGATACTTCATCAAATATATAATAAATCTTTATAAAATCTGTTGTTGTTTTTTGTTTCTTTGTTATTAAACTTACATCGTACGGAAATACATTAAGAGCATTGACTTACAAATAAATGGACGACGGGTCTAATACAAAAACCACGATAAAAATGTCCCAAGTCAACCTATTTAAACGTAGTGACATGTAAAGGAATATGAAAAAGCTAAAACGTTGAATTTAAATTGTAATGTCATCGCAGTACTGTCTAATTTTGCTTGCTTCGCTGTCAGTCGAACAAACGAAGACTAAAGCGTGAATGACGCTCTGTATACGATTTTAACGCCCTATAAGTTCGAACACTTTTTAGCGCGGACCCGACGTCCATATAATTGTAAGTCAATGATTAAGAGTGAAAATTCAGAACATACATTGGTACGTTAGTTTTCTTTCGGAAGTTTAATATATTGTTCCAAAGTTCAGTTTTCTTTCGTACAATTGTTATTTGATTATGATAATATGATTCATTTTGTTGGTATATTCTGTGTTTTTTTTAGTAACTCATGTTAACGCAGCTTAGTTAATAGTTAAAGCGTTTGTGTACTGCGTCCGATTCGTCGTCATTAGTTCGGAATCCGAGAAATGACGGTCCGAAATGTCACAGGTGTCCAAAGTATCATTTAATCTCTAAGTGTAAATGCGGTATTTCTATTTTCTCAGAGTCGAATCGGACTTGGTGCACAAGCGACATCTGAAGTGGGTCCGAGTTGCAACAGCCTTAGCACCGTTTGCTGCGAGTTCATTAGTTCTTCGGACCCTATATTATGTTTCATTTCTACATATGTATGTTGTATAAATTTTCATGTAGGTACTGTAATCTAAGATGGATTCGTACCGTGGATTGTTTACGATTTCCTCAATAGCTGCTTTTAGGTCATGGGCCATTGTATAGGAGAGGTCGACTCGTTTTGCAAAACCTTTTTTCACGGTTCTGTCGACGTTGTTAAATTGATCAGCGAATACTGGTATACCGATAATAGGTACTCCAAAGTGAACCGTCTCAATAGTTGAAAGAAGCCCTCCGTGAGTTATGAAGACAATGGTTTTTGGATGAGCTGCAAAACAGTATACCAAAGTTTTATAGTCAGTAATTCTGCCCTCGTTATCATACCTAATTTAATAGACTTTTTTAGCGAAATTGTATTATTAACACACAATCTCTTATAAACGGTATTTTTATATCTTATTTAGTTTCAGTTTTATTGTTAAGCAATATTTGCGTAGTTGGCATAGCGTCAGGCACTGGTTTGCTAAAAGACGTCGGTTCGAATCCGGCAGGTTCGAAGGAATTTTTTCTAAGCGGTCGATCTTTGTATTAATAATATCTGCGTAGTTGACATTTTTGATAGAAAAAAAATACTTTCAGTGCCAATATCTTGAAAGTTACCCAAATTCAAATGCGCTATTTATGACAAGAAGGGCAGAATTGGTAGGTCATTCGAAATCACTTTAGAAATAAATAACAAATGATTTTATTTATCGTACCCAAAACGCTTAGTTGTGGTGCCCATTTTACAATGTGAACATTTCTGGGTAAATCCGATAGTACTTCTTCAAATTTCCAAAGAACAGCATATTTCAGTGTTCCGAACATTTCCAATAAATCTTTCTTTAATTTTTCCGGTATATCTTTACTCTTTAGGTTAGAGCCCATGCTAAAGTATACAACGCCATGCTCAGCATTATCGAAGATTTTTTTCAAATCCTGAAAATTGGCAATTGCAATATTTTAACTGTAATCTTTATTAGGTATATTTAATAAAGACCCTGCATCATTGTCTTTATTTGTAGTGTTGTAGCAGCAGCGTTAAGTGTCCTTATAACACTTTAAATAATTAACTGGATTCGATAATAATACACTATGATATTAAAATGCGTCATCAAATTGCCTTTTGATTCATATTTATAATTATATTCATACACCTACTCAGTGAATGAGACAATGAATTTCCAAATTAGGTAGTAAAACTTAAAATATTTTATGTTGTCATCATCTTGAGATGACATCTTTTTTTTGACGATAGTCCTAGTGATAGCGAGGTTTCCAAGACTCCAAAGGTTAAAAAAGGAAATTAGGTCTTACCTCCGGCAGAGGTTTAAAATTGAAGTCAATATGACATCCACCTATTGGTTTATAGTTTTGAGGCAATCTAGTTGCTTGTCCTAGCGAAACATGTGAATTTCCTAACATCAGGGACCCATTGAATCTCATATCATAATAAGAGGGTAATGATTTTCCTCTTAAAGCCATTGCTGGACCGAATACTGCTTGATATATTTTCTCTTCTTTGGGCACAAAAAAGCTGCAATCATATAGGTATATGTAAAAAATACAAGATAAAGTAATAATAAAACAAGGTACCTAAAAGTGCGACAACTAAAATAATCACGACAGTAATAAGGAATGACGTTGTATTGAAAAACTCACAAACTGACTTTGTTGTGGGGCCTGTAATGCTTCTAATTTGTACATAGGGCGCACTATAAGTTTCCGGAACTGGCCACTTACATAAACAATATTTAAAAAATAATTACAATATTTGAAAATTGAACTCTTTGGCTGTAAAATACAGTTTGTTTCATCTTACTTTCACTTGTTTTTACATTGTGACGTCATTTTAGAATTTGGTTGTCTACCATCACCATGGATTTAACTCGTGAAAATTTTCATAGTATGATTTTCTACGACTTTAATTGTAATTTAACAGCCCAGCGGAGTTAAGGAGGAATTCAAACTACTTTTGGTGATGAAGCATCATGCAAGACGACTATTTATAGCTGGTTTGCAGAATTCAAACACGATCGTGTTAATCTCAGTGATGAATTTCGTGATAGTCGGGTGACCTGCTGCTGTGAACAACAAAACATCGATGCAGTGTGCCGTATGATCAAAACAGATGGCATGTGACATACCACGAGATTCGGGTATCTTTAGGCATAGGCGCTGAGTCAAATACAATCAATACTACACAAACATTTGGGTGTGAAAAACTGTGCTCTCGGTGGATCCCACACAATTTGACTGAGGCTCAAAACACGGATTGCGTCACTTGGTGCTTACCAGATTCAACGCAGGGGCGTCAAATTCGGTGTGCGAAATAGTAACAGGGTTTATAGTTACAATCCCAAAACAAAGCAACAATCTAGCGTATGGGTCTTTCGAGACGAGCCGAAACCAACCAAAGAGGCGCGTGTGCAAAGTGCATCTAAGCGGATGATTGTTTCTTTTTTAAATAAAACTGGACACGTGGCTACTAATGCTTTGGAGAATCGTTGTACCATTAATAGTGATTGGTACACGACCATTTATTTGCTGGAAGTTATTGACAAACTCCGTAAAAATAACCGTAAACGCCGTATCATCTTGCACCACGATGATGCCAGTTCTCATATGACTATACAGACAAATGTAATACATAATATAACCCACTATTCCATAAAAGTACTCATAAAAATTTGGTTCCAAAGTTCTTGAACCCGTTGCTTGAAGGTGAACGGTGGTAAGTGCTTCGTCGTCCAATCGGGATTGTAAGCTGGGTGTAAGCGTTCATCGATTAACTTTGTGACCATCCAGTGAGGTTCCATTGTTGAAAACCATATTAACGGGCAATCGAACAATGCTGCAAATCTGAAAGAAATGTGCTGATGTCAGATTAGTTTGGACAAGACGATATGACGAATATGTCAAAAATGTAACAGAAAGGGATAACAAACATTTATGTTAAACACCGAAGATGAGATTTATTTCGACCAAAATAATACTAACAGAAACATAAGCAGTTTATCCGCTCACGCGATACATGCAGCCGTAGACGCATACCACACCTAGAGGTGCCGGTGATGATTTTATACCGATTTATCGGATATCGAAGTTATAACAGGTAAAAGAGCTAATATCAATTGCTATTCCGGTAACTACTCTAGCAAACCATAAAGTTGTTAATGCCTGGGTCTGTCATTTAAAAAAAATAAACAACTTCAAGAATACGTCACGACAATCGTGTGTGTTATTGTTTGGGCTGGTTATTTCGGTGTTTATTTATTGAAAACATACCGTAGGTAGCGTTTTTTAAGTTTACCCTGAATATAAATGTTTATAAACTATACTTTCAGGAGTAATTTCATGGTAAACGTTACAACCACTCAAACGGAATATTATTATATTTATCCAAGTACACCAAAAATTTCATTAGTGCTTTTTAAGTAAGGATTTGCGGTGTATTACTGCATTTTATTTCAGATGTTTTTGTTGGTAGTACGGAGGGTATTTATTTAGCAATGCAGAATAATAATTTTTATTTATAAAAACTTGTTTATATTTATAAAACCAAATAGCCGCCATTTTGCGGTAGGAGGAGCGCATCGTGTGAGCGGTTATTAACCTATTTAAGTAAAGGGGTTTGGATAGAACGGAAAGGTGTTAGCCAAATAATTAGGAACCTCACTTTTAAAGGATACCTTCAGACATTGTATGACAAAAATTTCCATCTGCCTAATATATGTTTATGAAATTCATTCCTATAAGCACCCATGACTTAAGACATAATCCTGAGTATATTTTCTATTAAATCGGTACTATATGCGCAAGATACTGCGATTTTAGTGTCACAGTTCATAAGGGCAGCTACTCTGTCTTATTCTGGGTTTCAGTGTCTGCCATGTATTATTTTATAAATAAATAAAAAAAGTAATCTTACCCGCTAGACATTTCAGAGAAAAGCCATTCACCAATAACAGCATCAAATTTTTGCAAAGGATCCATTATAATTTTCTGTACATTTTCACTTGTATAAGTGCTATTACTTAAGTTTAACATTACATGCACGTGACGTGTCACATCTCTTGGATCTACTTCTTTATCCAAGATTGAATTTATTTTAATTGTGTTAACTGTAAGGTTAAACAGATTACAATTAAAGTAATGATATTCTATTTAAATATTATCCAAAGTCTGCTTCGTCATCCATATTCGTAAAAAATATTAATTTCGTAAAAAAAAATGTGAAAATGAACGTACTTGGAGATAATTCCATGTTATGACTTACGTCTACCTCTGTTAGGTTGGGGTAGGACTTTCTAGTCGGGAACGAGGTTATATATGTCACCTGTAATTTAAGTTCATTTTTATAAGTGCTAAATATTGCTTCGGTTATCGAGTATTCATCTATTGGTGATTTTCTTTACAACTAAACAGTCCAAAGTAAGCTGTTTTATTCGAATCATCGCAATAAACGAGGTACGCAAAATTAAATAAAATACATAGCTCCAGCAGTTACAAGCACATGGGACTTGTCAACTTATGTCTCAGGATGACAGACGCAGTGGCAGTGCCCATCAGATGTTTGCTTTTTAAAACTTTGAGTATCACTGCAACTGTTATGGATAGGTGTGTAGCTTACCATCAGGCGTACGACTTGTTCGTCCCGTCACTGGATATTATAAAAAAAGAAAATAATCAAAGCTTCCTCCCAAACTGGGCACCTTTTTTTAATAAAAGTGATTACGTTACACTTATTGTTTATTTAGAGACATTAGATTCACCTTGCACATTTACTTATTATGTAGATATCATTTTGTAGCGCAATACAGTCCTCTACAGTTCTCTGTCGCCGGCGTAAGTAAGACAGGGGCTATAATTTTTTTTCCAGTAGATAGTTAATAAAAAAATAAATAGAAGCGGACCAAGGTTAGAACCCAGGGGCATGCCTGATACTGGGCTGAATGGGTCAGACTCATAACCATTTAAAGCCACAAGTTGTGAACGATTAAGAGGTTAGGAAGCTAGCCAACGTAAAAGATTGTCGTGAATGCCTAGCTGATGTGCTTTTGTTATGGGAATTGATGCGATCGAAAGCCTTGACAAAGTCTGTGTAAATTGTGTCTACTTGGTAACCGCGTTTCAAATTAATCGCATATATGCGAAATGTAGAGTAATAAATTTGTTTTGTGTTGTTTTCCCCAACATAAAACCGTGCTGACTTTGGTTAAGTAAATGATTTATAAATATGTTTGTATACTTGTTCATAAGCAAAACCTTCAAATAATTTAGCAACCCAGTTCATTATACAGATAGAGCGAAAGTTAGTGATATCTTTTATATCACCGGAGTTATGAATAGGAGTTATTTTGGCTACCTTCCATAAATACGGGAAAACGCCACTACACAGAGATTTAGTACAGATTTTAATCAATGGATTAAGTAATGCAAAAACACAAAGATAGATAAAATTTGATAGAATAACGTCAGGGCCCGCGTCTTTGGACAAGTCTTTATTTTTTTAAATGTATCTGTTTCTGTAATTTTAATGGTAGTAATGGAATAACTCAAGAAGGGGAAGTCCGTTGTATACGTTATATAACGCAATTTTTCGTACGTAATATGACGCAATTTTAGAGAAAATATAATGTTAGTTGTCGTGAAAAGTGATCATACAACACGAACCTGATGTCCAGCTGCCAATAACAATCGCACAATACCATCTCCAAGGATCCCATGACTTTTTCCCGGAAATGTAGATACAACAAGGATGTCAGCAGTATCGATGCAGGATAACGAAACGAGTGGCACAATTAGTAACCATTTTAATCCAAGCATTGTGATGAACTAAAAAGAGTATTTCAATATATATATACAACTCTAACTTGTATATGGAAACATAATACGAAATTGAAGGTATTAAATACAAATAAAAAATACATCATTTAAGTAACTTTCGCAGGTTGTCGTGATATTTGATACAAATATTGTAAGTGATAAATGTACACATATATGTGAATAATGTGGCTACCACATAAACTCAGGGCTTATTCATGAATACCACCAGGCACTCACGAAGGTATGTATATATAACCTCGTAACTCTGCACTAGATCAAAGTGTACAGTGGTTCACGTGGTAAAGATGCAACAGATGAACTGGCCAGAAAAAATTCGGAGATGGACGCTGTAGGATCAGAACCTATAGGGTTCGTCTCCTACCAATGGTCGAGAGCAACTATACACAAAGTTACAGAAACTATTCATAATAACACTTGGATAACCCATACGGTTTGTAGACAGGATACTCAACTATCGTCTATCTCGTAAATTTCCTAAGCTCAAAAGGAAAGAGCTGTGCGTTCAATTGTAGCTCTAACAGATCATGGTTAATATAATAAGCACCTTTAAATCCAGATATCACAGACAGCCCTCTAAGTAGAGAATGCATGGAGGGAGAGCAAACGGCCGCCTACATCCTACTACAATGCTCCTGCGTGGCCATGACCAACCACAGGACAAAATACCTTGTAGTGATGAGGTCGTTCCCCGAAGTCTTCAACAAACCAAGGAGCGTGTTGAAGGAGATTGCGTGCCTCGAGTAGGATCTTGCACTTACCACACGTAAAATAGGCGTCTGGATGTCAAGTTGCGGTCACCAACCCGTTACATCATACCGTGTACACAAATGTTTAGTTACAAAGAGCAACTCCAAGAGTTTCTTAGTAATTCCTTATATTCTACACTATTCATATTCTACACTAATCATAATTAGTGAAATTGAGCTATTAACACAATATTTGGAATCAGCGACACGAAATCTACAACCCTTTATAAGCGGTTTTTTTATATCTTATTTAATTTCATAGACAAATGGAGTAAGGCTATAACCAAATGGTGACCAAGAAATGGTTATAGAAAAGTGAGACGTCCTGTGTGTAGCGAGATGGGTAGACGACATTGTCAAAGTTGCGGGCCGTAGATGGATGAGACTAGCACAGCTTTGTGGTAGATAGCACAAACTGCGGAAGACCTATATGTACCCAACAGTGGGTAAACTCGTGTTATGGATGTTGATAATGATTTAGATTCAATTTTATTGTTAAGCAAAATCAGTGTAATTGATATTTTTCAAAGAAAAAAACCTGTAGGTGCGAATATCTCGAAAGTTACTCAAATGCAAATGCGTTGTTTATGACAATGAGTGTTGACTTCTTCTCAGGGGAATCTACCTTACGAATGAGTAGTAGATTGTGACCAATGCTCAATATATTTATTATCTTCATATGGTAGATAAGGTCTTAAAATTAAAATTATGTTACACATATGCGCCATGACTTAGGGATAACAATAAGAGCAGCGGCAGGCCGAGGCTTAGATAAGTCAGTTAATTGTTCACTATCAATATATATACAATAAAAAAGTATGTGATTGAGAAAATTTCAATTAAATTAAATTACAATAATATAAATATATACAACATTATTCAAGATTTGTTTATTATTTATTAATTTAATTATTAAAATTTGTTACAATATTATTATATTTTGTCATTAAATTGTAGTGTATGTAATTCGCTAACATATCAAATAAAGATTATTTGTGTTTGAGTTCGAATATTAAAAAACATTTTTTAACTTACCTTGCACCTATACCACGTAAACAAGTGTTAATTTAATTTCAACGTTCATTGAATGTGTCTGTGTTGTTAATATTTTCATATGCGATTTATCTCGGCCACATACAGCCGCACACGATCTCGACCAAACACTTCTAAAATACAATTCACCGGCACCAAAATAGTATGCTTCTGTGTTTCCAAATAAATAGTTACTGACGAAGAATTAGTAAGCATATTTTTTTATCTATAACTTGTTATCTCTGTCGTAACATAAAATTATATTTTATCTATCTTTTCATGTTGCTGACCGTACCCATGTTTTTTTAAATATTTTATGAAAAAATATAATATTGGTAACAATAATATCTTAGTCAGTAATTACTTCAAACATAATGTAACATAATTTAGTTCATTATTTACGTAATGTGCTTTACAAAAGCATAAATCATGGATAATATTATATAATTAGGTAACATATATA